CGGATTTTTAGTTTAATGTAATATTGCTTGACTAAACTTACTAGATGAAACTTACTAAGGTTGTATCTCAAAACAGCCTTTTTGAGAAAATTTTACTCGATATTCTATATATAGTAAGGTGAGAGAACTATAAGTATTAAGTAAAATTTTCCTCAAAAAGACGTTTTAGAATGCAGCCTAGGATTCAGAATGCATCTTGAAGAAATTTTATTTTTATGATAAACTTGATAGATTTGTAGAGATAAATGCATGAATAACGCAGATTTATCAACTCTTTTGATCAATTCACAACGTAGTTCTCCAACGGAGAGTTCATTGCAATATTCTTTGACTTTGACACACGATATGAAAGCACCTTCTTTTTACTCTTAAAGTGATTAATATTTCTTTTGTTTTCCAAAAAGGATTAAATAGTTGGTAACGGGGTGAGATTTTTCTGACTTGAAAATCAGGCATCAGTTTCCAGAGAGAAATGGAGATAAAGGAAAAAAAAGAAGCGGAAGGGAAGAGACGAGGCCATAACGATTTCGGCACAGTCAGGCACACGATGTACGATGAAAAATTATTTGTTTGACTTCCCAAGTTTCGAACAATTACACGGTAGTGTTCCCATCATTTGTAATTAACTTTCGGAAACCGACTTTCGAAAGTGAAAAGGAACGAAAAACCGGCACACACTCTGTTCCCGGTCCTTAGCTTTAAAAAGCGTGACTTGGTATGAAAAGCACAGCGTGCGACTGGCCGGACATGTAATACTAAAAATTCGGGAAAAGGTAAGAAAGAGCCGGGACGTCGACGATCTTGTGGCAATATTTGTACGAGTGAAAAACGTGCCGCGATAGATTCGGCGCCGGTCCAACATTCGTCTAGCGGCGTGCCGATAAAGAGACAAGGCCCCCTTTTGCGAAACCCGAGTAAACAAGAGGCGAGGAAGGAGTCCGGCTGTTCGATATCTCCACCTCGGCCGCTAGTTTACGAGCGGCGGCAACCGACGCGGCGTGATGCGACTCACGATAGATGCCTCCAAGAGAGAGAGAGAGAGAGAGAGAGAGAGAGAGAGAGTGAGAGAGGCTTTACCGACAAAACCGGTCAATTCTTTTTGCTTTCTCCAAAGATTATTCACTCGCGCTATTTTCTTATTCGAATTTCTTTTCTCTTTTCTTCGTCAAAAGATCTCACACTGGTTTCTCATTCATGAGACGTGTAGCAATGCGATCTTGCTGACCGAGATATTTCAGAGAAAGGGAGAGAACGCTTTCGACTATTAATTTACCATTTAGCAGCATTTTTCATACTGATGGCATTTCTCGCTACCGGTATTCAAAAGAAAGCCCAAAAGAAATCGACAAAAGAAAAGCACGTGGCATTGTTCGCTTCGACAGACACTCTTAGATTGCACTAGCAAATCTTTTGCGACGAATGATCCGTTGGCGAGTATCATAGATATCGCTTGCGTTTGATATGCTTTCCCCCAACGATCTATCGAAAGATTCAGGTTTTTTTCCGTCTCTAAGCATCACCGTGTGTGCGGCGTCGGAGCCGCCTTTTGTGCGACGCGACGACGTCGACTTACAAATTGGAATACAACGGACGCGGAGTTAGGAGAATCGTTTCACGCTTCGCGGGGGCGCCAAGTGGAAGACAAACACCGATAAAAAATGCATGAATAAAGCACTAATGGAGGCTCCATGGAAGAGGAATAAACCTCGAGCCACGGCGAAGCTCGTGAACCACCGAGAAAGAGAAAAAGAGTGAGAGAGAGAAAAAGAGAGACGGTCCGCGTTTACCGAAAGCGATGACGGGCGAGCCGTGCGATCGAACGTTCTTCTTTCAACGTCGATCAGAACGGCAAGAAAAAGAATGAGGAAAGAGGCTCGAGGAAAAGCGATTCTTTTCTGTTTTAGTTAAAAATGCAAGCTTTTGTCGATTCAGTTAGCTGGCATGAAAGCGCGATTAAACGCGATCCCTAAACATGGGTAGAATTGACTCACACCAACTTTAACTGAATGGGTAACTGAATGGGGAATGAGAAACAGATGAAAAAAACTCGGATGAGAAATAATATTTCTATTATTGTAACCGAAAACATTCGTCTGAACATTCAGCTGCATTAAAATATGGTCGAGGCAACTGACAATGAACACTATTCACATGACCAAAGTGATTTTGACTCATACCTATTTTGTTCTCTTTAGCTTTTTTCTTTACATATGACTTCTTTTGCTTAAACAGAATAAACGATTGTTTTTATGAAGAGCTATGATTTTAGGAAAAATGTCTATTTTCTCACTTGAAAGGAATTCTTCAAATTTTCTCACTTGAGAGGAATTCTTCAAATTTACCCGTTTGGAGTTCTATGGCTAAGGCATTGCATAAATTATACTTATAGCAGAAGGAAAAAGATCGCGGCTTAAGCTCAAACAATATTTAAATTTTCTAACGAGATGACACGTTTCTTCGTAATTTTCATTGCTTAAAAATCCGAATGTTTCACGGTTACTGGGAAGTGTCCGATCTCGTTTTTCCAGATCTCTTCGGGAGGACTCAACAGCGGTGCCCGCGATCGTTAGCTCCATTTAGCTGTTAATTACAATACATTCCCTTTCGCCGTGTTTCGCGCAAGTTACCAGGGAGGAAACCAGCTTCAGCTGCTGATGGCTTTGAGGAGGACGCGCGATCGCTATTAAGGGCGACGGGGGAATGTCAGGACGCGGTAAGTAAGAGAGCGCCATGTATCAACGATCGATCTCGTTCGCGGGCCCGGAGCGATTGCAATCGGGCCGCTTATCACGCGGATAGCGTTTCGCGTGAATCATCCCGCCGACGTTTTAACGACATGCAGCAGCCAGTCTGTCATTTGCCGGGCCGGGGTACGGTGACACGCATTAAAATAATAACACGCGTTACCGCGTTTAGCCGCGCGCGACGTCCGCGCGGAGAGAGCAGCTCGATCGACGCGCTGAAAATTACCCCATCGTCGAGCCAGTTCCGCAAACACTATTACGATGGGGCAGCCATCGTGAAATCACGCGCGTGTAATCTGCCTTCTCCGTGAGAAGTGGCCAGATCAAAAGTTACACGTTGAAAACGCTATAATTTCACCTTCGCGAACGTTAACAGCGCATCATTAATCGCAGCTGCTTCGCTGCTGATTTATTTAATGCGACGGTAATGATTTGCATTCTCGATCTATTTCTCTTATTCGCCAAGAATCATCCCCTTCTGACGATCACACGCTCAGTCAGACAGTGCACTAATGGAAGTTTCAGGCCTGGAACAGAGTACATCATATGTCGCTGTCGCATGTCGGAACGCAGCCGATAATCCAATGAGGAGAACTCATTCTCGAAAAATAAATTCTCTCATTGAATCATCGGCTGCGTTCCGACATCCAACTCCGACATACGACGTATTGTGTTCCAGGCCTCACATTGCGTCCGACATCCGACATACGACATCCGATTATCCACTAGGAGAATTGATTTTCCGGAGATAGAAGTGTCGCTAGTTAGAAACTCTGCTATTGATATCGTCGAATGTCGAACGCAGTGTGAATCCTCAATGGCTAACTCTACTTTTTAGAATTTTCTTCTTGGAGTGAAATTTCACTCCAAGCTTCCCTCAACGATTGTCTCACGTCGTGATAGTCATGAAAGTCCATCTAGGTGGCTACTCCCTTAAAGTGATCAATAAAAATATTTTTGATTGAATCAGTAAAAGGACTATTTCATCGATAATCAATGAGTATTCACTGATTTTCAGCGAGAACGCTCCTACTTTACTGCTCTGTCTCATTTCTCACTTATTTTGACCAGTGGAAGTGAGATTTTATTGAAATCTATAATATACAAATTCGTTATGCGCTACACCAAATCCAACGTTCCGCATCTATGACAATTGGTTGTAGGAGACGATCTAACTTAATCTAAATAGACGAGAACAAATGTGACTTGCACCTCAGGCAGTGTATGTTTATTAAAATGATAAATGATTCGTAATGATAACTGTTTGATCTGTTCGCCTAACGACCGTCAAACAGCAAGTGTGCTTTTGTTCTGATAGCCGAGGGATTAGTGCACCCTTTCCAATCGTCAGACCGGTCCTGATCTCAATTTCTGATTTCGCGGAACAACGCGTCACCCGCGTGTAGATCATCGCACTGCGAAAGGTCATAGCAGTCCCTCAGATCGGGATTTCACGCTGCTTCCTGCCTTCAATACGCACCAGACGACGAGGTGCCGACGAGGAAATGGAGCGAGAAACCCGACGAGGTCGATAACGTCGCGTCCGCTCGTCGCTTTAATTAATATGAGACGAAACGCGCGATATCGAACGATCGATCGGCCGCGTAATGTCGCCTGTTGAATACCATATCGCTTATGATAGGATGATTCACCACGGCGCGTCGGATACCTCAAGGACGGCGGTCTTTATCGCGCGTCTTGACACAGTGCCGCGCTTCATCAGCGGCGACATCGGAGCTGCTGCTCCGGGAGCATCCTCGCAACAAATGACGAGGCCTGCGAATCGAATTGCGAGCGTCACAAGCGGGCGTTATCCGAGAAAACGCTGTGCATGCGTAACTATTAATAACCGACCTACGCAAGTCGGGGTTGTACTGCGAGAATGCTCGCAACGGATTTCGTTCGCGACGCTGACTAGGTGGCTAGGTGGTGTTCTCTCTAAAGATACCCAACACCATTGCATCCGATACGTATCGGAGGACAATCGAAGGCGCGAGTAAGCGAAGGCGCAACATTCACGGCGCTTTGATAACCGGTAAAAGTCACGTCTGACGTAAGCTCGCGAAGCTGGATAAATAAACTAATAGTATTTACGACGCGATCGCGGAGGAGAAGAACTCGCCCGTGATTCATGGTGGCTGAATCAGCCGAGTAAGCAAGCATTCCCGTCCGATACGTCCTTCATCTAATCGCACCTTCGTTCGCCGTCCCCGGCGGGAACGGCGGAGAGCAAGAGCGTGTTCGCAAGACTGTCACCTGTGTCATGAGACGATCGGCGCCGGTGCCCTCTTCGTCCTTGAAGATGATGTCCGAGTTGTAATTGGGTACCAGATCCCGGAACTTGGAGTCGCCTCTGGAGATGCGTCCCTCGCTGAGGCCACTGGCCGGCAGCGTGTTCTCGCTAACGTTTGGCACATGCTGCTTGAACACCAGAGGAGTGAGTTTCCTCTGGTTGGAGCGTCGGCCGCCGCCTCTGCCGGGTCCGCACGCCAGGGCGAGACCGCCGCTGTTATCGAGCACGGGCAGCCAAAGGCTGAGGATCAGCAGCAGTACCTGGAGGAGTGAGCCGCACGTGCCTACGCGACTTCCGGCGATGCAGTAGCGGTGGCTCGCTTGGAGGCCGTGGCGACGATGATGATGGTGCACCATAATCGCGTGCCTCTGCGCCGAGGTCGACCCTGCGCGGCGGTCACTGCTCCCGCCGTCTCCAGAACGGCTGTCGGAACGACGACAACGTCGACGATGACGACGACGACGACAACAACGGCGGCGGCGGCGGCGGCGGCGGCGACGATGACGACGACGACGACGGGGGTAACAATCCGAACAACGTTGTACTACCGATCCTTCTTCTCCGCCACTTGCGACTGATCTCACTCACGCTTAACCATAACCGGGGCATCACACACCCCCCCGTGCACGCACTCTTACCACCGATGTGATCCCCGTAGTTGCGTCGACGATAATTACCGCGCGCGACCGACCACTAGCCGACGACCGGGACGACCGGCTTTTTCACCGGGACTTGGAGCTCGGGAGGACTTGGGGAGCGAGCAGGAGCAAGACGTGACAGATCGGTGGACGACCGATCGATCGATCGATCGGCGAGCCGACGTTGGGGACTGAGAATCTCCTGCAGGGTTGAACAAAGGCTGTCTTCCCTCGTATCGGTTGTTGGTTAAGGAAACAATGGTCATATGGATACTGCAACGAGTGTCAACGTGAGGCGTTAATGAGTCGCAGGAGGATTCACGAAGAGGATGGGGATGGATTTCTCGATATCCTTCCTTCTACATCCTAGACAGCGAATCAGAGGGCAGACTCGAGCCTTTTAAATTGCCGCGTCCACAGCACTTTCGGCCTCTTTCCCACCCGGGTGCGTGTAACCCTCTACGACGACGGTTCTCGTCGAGGAGGAGAGAGAAGTACGTGTGAGTCGACTCACTTGACTGAACGCGGACGAGCGCCGTCCGGAAGCTAGGGCACGTTTTCCGGACGAGCCGGTGGTGGGAAATGCGGTATGGGTTTTGGTGGGTACTCCTCGCGTTGTTTCTTTGGCTCGACCGGGTCCAGGGTGCCCCTCTTCCTGCCCCCACCCTGCGACCAACGGCCGGCCGGACCGCCGCCGCTGGCTGCTGCTAGCTGCTGCTGGTCCCCGTGGTGCTCTCGCAGACTCCAAAGGTGGTGGTGGATGATCTCGTCCCCTCCACGTAGGCCCTCCTGGTACCGTGCCGACGTCACGAGGCCTACTGTGCCTCTATTGGCCGGGGCGGAGCGTCCCCCCAGGTAAACGAAGACAGGTGCACGTGGCGGGAGAGAGGAAGAGGAAAAGAGAGAGAGACAGAAGGAGAGTGAACGGGGGGAGAGAACGGTCGCGAGAGAAAGAAAGAAATAGACGACTCGAGGAGGAAGATCTTCTAGCTTTCTCTTCTTTTAACTAGGCGTAGTCGACCTCTCATTCTCTCCTTCTCCTCCTCCTCCTCTTCTCGACCTTTCTGTCGCTTCACCCTCTCGCGAGCTATTTCGTCGTACATACGTCTGTCCATCCGTCTGTCTGTCCTTCTTGGACTATCTTTTGCTCCTTGTAGCTTCTTCGTCTGCTCTACTATCGCGTTTCTTCTTCGTCACCTCGTCGTCGTCGTCTCACCTCGTTACTCCGCTCCTCTCTTCATCGCGGATACGTCAATGCCCCTTCGCGTTTCTCACACCTCTGCGCACCTTCTTGCGCGCAACACCCGTCCAGAATTCTCCGCGGAGATTCTCAATGACTTTCTACCCCCAAGGCGCGCATCGACACCCCCGCGCGATGGAAGCGACACGCGGGGCGTGTGAGCCGGGATGACCTTGTCGTGTGCTCCGCGAGCCCTGCAGGGGCTTTCGTTCTTCGCTCTCTTGTTCTTCTTCTTTCTCCTCCCCTCCTCAGTTTCTGCCTCTTCGCTTCTTCAATTCTCCTTGTTCCTTCGCTGCTTCTATCGTGAGTACTCGTACCATGGTTCAATTCCACGTAACCTCGCGCACCTCGCGAAACTTCAGGCGACTAAATTCCCCGAATTCCGCACACAGGTGATCCGATTAGTACTTAGCAGCTGTCAATCGCGGCGGAGCAGCGCCGTTGTTCTCTTGTACTCGCCTGTTCATCGAAGAACACGCGTGTCGCGCTCTGATAGCAGGCTACTTGTTATCTCATCGGACACTTTGACGCTTTGCGTGAGAGACGCCGCGAGGGAAGACGAGTCGCGCGCCGGTCACGGGTTAATCGATCGCGGTTGATGGTGCGTGCACACGCGCGCGCTTTTACCATCGTCGATCATCGAGTCGCGCGTTCACGATCCATCCACGTGAGAAAAACGCGATTGGTATTTGCGCGTCATTGCGTCATATTCGAGCGTGCTCGAGCACCGATTGTCGATCGACGTTGAGTGACGGAATGCGCCGCGCGGGTGAGACCGAGCGCGGCTACACCGCGACTGATATGAAAGTCCAAGTTTACCATGAGGGGGGTGGAGGGCGGAGGTGCGGGGCACGGCAAGGAGAGAGAAAGAGAGAGAGAGAGAGAGAGAGAGAGAGAGAGAGAAACAGATAGAAAGAGAGATAGATAGACAGAGAGAGAAAGAGAGAGCCCGGTTTACTGATAATAAACATCTTTCTCGAACGCGGTTGATCATTGGACGAATTTACGCAGCGTTGAGTCGCGGCATTCCGGCAATAGACATTCCCAAATAGACTTTCGTGATTATATCACCACGTGAGACGGTTGGTGACAGAAACTCCGCAATTTTTTTAATTACACTCATGGTGCAAATATGCTGTATTGAATTATCGTTTCCTCCTCTCCCGTCCTTCGCCGTGGTACTCTTGATTGATGACGTCAGGAACGAGAAAACGCATACCCGGAATTCTTGGCATTTTTACGCAGAAAGATATTTATACGAAAGAACATTTTGAATCAATCATGCGTACTTGTTGAACGCAAATTGAAAATTATTCTTTTCTCGCGACAGTCAATAATCAGTCGTAAAATTGATGTGTAAACTTTACTTCTATTTCATTCTATGTGATAAATATAAGTGCCATATAAATCACTCATCCTCTAATTTAACTGAAATTTATTTTATAGTTTTGATCAGATTTATCACAATTAGTTATTTGATTTGTACGTGGAGGAAATATTGTAGTAAAAATTACAACAAAATTTTTGTAGCCTTGGACTATATAGAATTATGATCGAAGTTGTGACATATTTGTTTAAAAACATTACGCACGTTTGTCCTTTTACTACAAAATTATTGCAATTGAATGTTTTTTATTTTGTATACCAGATAGATCGTAAAATTTATTATTTCTATAGCGATGTATGTATATATATGCTACAAGTTCAGTATAATCCAGTTTTACAAAAAAAAGAAATGATTTTAATTTAATTTAATTTTTATTAAATTTTTATTTAATTTTTATTTAATTTTTATTAATTTTAATTTAATTTTTTATTTTAATTCTTACTACAATGTTTTTTCCATGTATAAAGTAGTGAATAATTAAAAATCATTATTAATAAGGTTCTATTTGCTATATTATATGTTACATGACTTATCAGAACTTAATAACATTACTTAATACAAACCAGATAACTAATTAGGATCAACCTGATTAGAACTACGACTTAACTTTTTAATCAAGGTAAAGAACACAACTCTTATACATCGATTGGTAAAGTTGCACCGATCTGTTTTGGTTGTGTCGTGTTGGTTTTCATTATAAATTGCCCTGTGTTTCGGTGGCTGTAAAATTTGAGACTCAATTAGGATGCTGTACATTGTCGGAAGAGTTAACAACGTCGACGAGTGTGGTCCATCGCGGAAGCTGGCTGCACCTTTACAAGCTGATTTACTCATATGAAATCCGAAGTTAAGACGCATTATTGTATTATAGGTATTTATAGGTATATAAGGTATGTATAAGATCACACGAAAGGGTTTTTCTCTCGTGGTATTTTGTCGGCGACAGGATTATCTGCGACGCTTTTCGAAAACAGAGTGGCTCATCAAACAAACCGTCGTTGACGGCGGTCAGTGGTTTGACGGACACAAATCTTCACGAATCTCCCGGAGTACGTGACACGGTTTCGTGTCGGCGGACTTTTCCGGGGCACAATGGCCGCATTACCGTGCCGCTGCGCACTACGCGGAAAGAAGCAGAATTACGGCTCAATGAAAGTATGAAACGTCGCTCGTTAACGGGGAGCCGATGCCAGAAATCGCCGAGACTTGCCGGCAGAGCAATAAAAGGCAACGAGTATTCGCGGGCTGTAAACATCCGCGCGCGGGAACGCTTACTCCGGAACATTTCATAATCCTGTTACGAGGCACTTTGACTTTCGCGGTGGTGGCTGCGGTGGCGCGAATCGGAAATAAAATTCCGCTATCGAGGTGCAAGTAACGGCGGTAACGTCGCCGGCGGTAACGTCGCGTCTCGCATCGTGAGAAAATGTAAAGGAGGAGGATTGTCCGGCGATTGTCCTGGACCCTGCGGCAGGACATCCCGCGCAAGCACGATTAAAATTCCTGCTGGTGTCGGCTCGATTGGTCCCGTCTCCCGTCAAGCTTGGCCGACCTACGGAGGTCAATAATAACAGAAACACAGCGCACTGTTGATACTTTCCTTTTTTCTTTGACGCGCCGAAATGTCATTCAGTCAGTTTAGCGATTTCTATTGTGTGCGAGTTTGTTCTCTCACAGCTGGATATTCGATTAAGCTTGGGCAACATGTCTGTACATTATACGCACATTAAGTGGGTTTAACGCTAGAAATCTTTCTCTCATACTTGTTATTAAATTGATTTCAATCAATTATCTGGTTTGTATAAAGTGGTATATATTATCGAGTTCTTTATTCACTTTAAAGATTAATAAGCTTCTGATTGCCACTGCTGTGGCTTCTATTGCTTCTGCTGTTATAACTTATCAGAACTCGATAACATTACCCAAACCAAATAATTGAGATTAATCTCAGAACTATGAGCTATAAGACTCTAGCTAAGAATCTATTTCTTAACTGCACACCAATTAAACGTCTCAATTTATCGGCGGTTAAATTGAATCGCAATATTCCGACTTTGTGACGTAGACCTTCGCGGTCCTCATTCACGCCGAGTCGCAGGGCACCGATGCAGGTGGAGATGGAGATCCTCCATCGGTGAGATGCGGTCCAGGATGCGACGCGTTGTCGACGCGCGGCCACGGCTGTCGCCTTTTCGTGGTAACACGATATCCCAGGGGAACCTAATGTCGAGCGTATCGGAGGTAACGCCGGTCGAACGACGACGGGTCCGAGTGGGCCTTTCGCGTAATGGACGGCTCAAATATTTATCATCGGCCGCGTAATTTAAGGTGCGTTTAGCAAACGGAAGACGACGCGAGGAAAAACAAACAGGACAGAGGCGGTGTGGTGTAGTCGGCGAGAATAAGAGAACGAGGCGATAGCGGAGGAGGAGGAGGAGGAAAAGGAGAAAGAGGAGGAGGAAGAGGTGGAGGAAGAAAAGGAGGAAGAAAAGGAGGAGAAGGAGGACAACGACAACGACGGGGATGCTGAGGGGAATGAGACGAGGCTCAAGAACGGCAAGCGAGAGCGAGAAGACGCCGAGGGCGAGAGAGGCGGAAAGAGTAGCTCAAAGGGGCCGCCGCGGGGCCCGGAGAGCCTTGTGAGAAGGCGCAAACCCCAATAATAGCACCAGAATTTATATACCTGCACGAACTCGGTAGAACGGTTCCGGGGCAGAAGGGTCCGCGGG